GTCCTTCATTCCTCATGATAAGACGTGCTGCTTGCTCGTGCTCTTCCTGCCTCTGTGCCTGACTTGGCAGGGAGACGCTTTCCTCCGGGGGCACACGTGACCGCGACCGTCACTGGGGGAAGGGTTTTGATGGCCCCGGTGGCAGGGCCCTTGATGGACACCTCGTGGGCTGCTCTGCGTGGAGCTGTGGCTCATCAGTGCTGCGATTACAGATGCCTGCGGAAATGGGGCGTGCCTGAGATGTGAAATGTTGGGGAGGTTTCTAGGTGCGTGTCTGCATTCGTTTGCAGGGCTGCTGTGAGCAAAGTACCACAGCCTGGGCGGCCGGCAGCGGAAAGTTATTTGCTCTCAGTTTTGGAGGCCAGCAGTCCGGGCGCCAGGGCTGTTTTTCCTGCGGCCTTTCTCCTTGGTGTGCGGGCGGCCGCCTTCTCCCTGTGCCCGCGTGCTTCCCTCTGTGCCTGTCCGTGTCCTGGTCTCCTCTTCTTACAAGGACACAGTGCTGTCTGATTAGCGCCCACCCTGATGGCCTCGTCTTTTTTTTTTTTTAATATATTTTATTGATTTTTACAGAGAGGAAGGGAGAGGGATAGAGAGCCAGAAACATCGATGAGAGAGAAACATCGATCAGCTGCCTCCTGCACACTCCCCACCAGGGATGTGCCCGCAACCAAGGTACATGCCCTTGACCGGAATCGAACCTGGGACCCTTGAGTCCGCAGTGATGGCCTCGTCTTAATCACCTCTTTAAATACCTCACCTCCAAAGACTCTCACATGCTGAGGGGCTGGGGTTAGGGCTTCTGCGGGAATTGGGGGAGGGAGGACACCATGCCCCCCATAATGTCGTCCTACGTGACAAATGAGGGATTCTTCGTACCCGGAGGACTTTGTGAGAAGCGGGTATTGAAAGAAAGCCTGAGCTTGTCTTCAGGGGAAAAGGCAGGCCGTGTTTTCGGCTGTTCTGTGGCCGGCTCACCAGGAGCGCGGGTGAGGCCCCGAGGTGAGGCCCCGAGGTGAGAGACCCCCACCCCCTTGTGAGGCCGTCCCGTGGCGGCCAGCTGGCCAGCACGCTCCGCTATCTTCAGGTGACAAAGGAGACCTTGGCTCGCACGGAGACGATGTTGTTTGGAGAGGAAGTGGTCTTGCGGGCTGTGGCGCGATGGCTTGACCTGCTCAGCTGTGTTTGTTTGGTTTTGTTAGAGTGTCATGTTTTTTGTTTGACTCAAACAGCTTTTCTTAGTATTTAAATTTACACGTTGCTTGTTTTATTTGTTTTTTAAAGAAAATAGCACTAAATTGAAGTTTACTCTTAAATTTATTTTTCTTCCCCAAATGGAAATGAATGAAAGTGTTGTACTACGTGTGGCTTCTTTTACGTTTTAATCTTCTTTCAGTTACCAGTGTCCCCCAAATGAATGCTCAGGGCTCTCGGGTGAATTTGAATGCCTTTAATTTGAAAGCGATACTTTGTAACACTCTTGTCTCTCTGTGGCCTCCAGGCTGGTCCTGACCTACGGAAAAGAAGGGGCAGGGAGGCCCGACTTCTGTGAGGGCCACAGCCCGGCCGTGACCATTACCTTCGTCTGCCCCTCGGAGCGCCGGGAGGTGAGGCTGTTCTGTTCTCTCCGGACTTCCCAGTGCGCCCGCCAGCC